TTCCCTTCTCCTTCTCCCTTCCCTTCCCCTTTTCCCTTCTCCTTCTCCCTTTCTTTCTCCCTTCCCTTCTCCTTCTCCCTTCCCTTCTCCCTTCCCTTCCCTCCTCCCTTTCCTTCTTTTCCCTTCTCCTTCTCCCTTTCCTTCTCCCTTCCCTTCTCCTTCTCCCTTCCCTTCTCCCTTCCCTTCTCCTTCTCCCTTCCCTTCTCCTTTTCCCTTCTCCCTTCCCTTCTCCTTTTCCCTTCTCCTTCTCCCTTCCCTTCCCTCTCCATTTAACAAGCAGACAGAACTTAATCCTGGCAGTTCAAAGCAGGTGGGAAAAAAAGCAAAATCAAGGAAAATCCATCTATTCAGTCCCTCGAGGAGAGAGAAGAGAAACCATTCAGATTTTGATGGAAACTGTTTGAGCAACGACCTCCAGCAAGTGTTACATTAATATACTGTTTTCTTTTCTTGAGCCCACCTGCCTTTCCCCCTCCTAGATAGATTTTTGGGATTTTTAGGATATTTTTCAATTAGTTTCTGAGGGGTTGCTCTCCCTCTTGAGAAGTTCTTTCCCTCACAGATTCGTGTTCTTTGCACCAGTTGTGTGTGGTTCCTTCCATGCACCAGGGCATAAATCCTGGCTCTTGTTAAATCCTGGCCCTTGGGATGGCATCAAGTCATGGATTTACTGATGGAATCACTGCTGGAGGCAGCCAGGCTGCACTTCAGTATCCTGAAGGTTCACTTCAAATTCCATGGGATGGTGCCAGAGATCTGTTTGGTTCTCACTGGGAAAGTCAACTGCAACTGTGTGTCACTTGTCAGGTGTTTTTTACACTTGTCTGCATGTTGGGTGACACTGCAAGACTTGGGATCAATTAAAATTATCCATGACATAAATGAATTCTCAAGAGTTCTTGTCATCCAGTACCTAAAAGGGCTACAGGAAGGCTGGAGAGGGACTTTGGACAAGGGATGGAGTGACAGGACAAGGGGAATGGCTTCCAACTGACAGAGGGCAGGGTTAGATGGGATATTGGGAAGGAATTCCTGGCTGAGAGGGTGGGGAGGCCCTGGCACAGTTGCCCAGAGAAGCTGTGGCTGCCCCTGGATCCCTGGAAGTGTCCAAGGCCAGGTTGGATGGGGCTTGGAGCGACCTGGAATAGTGGAAGGTGTCCCTGCCCATGGCAGGGGGTGGCACTGGGTGGGCTTTAAGGTCCCTTCCAACCCAAATCATTCTGGGATTCTCCCTCAGAAAGTCCCAGGGCCCTGGCACAGTGTTTATACCCAGCTGATGTGGCAGCAGGTACAGCTTCCCCCCAAAAAAAGCCTGGCTGTGTCCTGCAAGAGCTATGGCATTCCCAAGGAACTGCCTCCCCTGAGCTCCCACAATTGTGAATCCAACTCCTTCACTGTCCCATGTCACCACAGCTCCTGCATTTCCAGGCATTTCCTCTGGCTAACAAATTCCAAAGTAAAACTAAGGGGGTGACGTGCCCCCAAAAGAGAAGCAGTAAATCACAGGTGGAAGTTTCCTCCAGCACAACAGAGCAATCTTATTCCATCCCTTTCCTAACTCTTAAACTGGACACAAGAACCACCCTGCAAAAGCCAGAATCTGAGAGCAACAAAACACTTCAGGCACAACAGGCACGGGAGAGAAGCAGGGAGGGAGCTGAAAACCCCCAAGTAAATAGATAATAAATAAATTTTGGTTGGACAATGCAGGCCCTGTGCAGAGCCCCAGCCTGGCCCTGGCTCTGCTCTCAGCAAACAGCCCTTCCCTGGCACTCTGCCCTGTGCTGTCCCAGCTCTCTTCCCAGGACACATTCCCACTGCCAGTGTCAGCTTCTCCTTCCTGACTGATCCTGGGAGCAGCCGATGTCTTCTGCCTTGTTCCCACCTCCAGCAGCTGAGGTTGGATCCACCCACACAGCTGATTCTCCATCCTGGAATACCACAGCACAGCTGCAAAGGCTGTGAGAACATCTGTCCTGTCCTTCTTCCTATTCATTCCACAAAAAAAAATGTATTATAATCAATATTAGCATGAGAAATGACATTGCTGACAGTGACAATCCAGCCAAAACCTTCCACTTTGCTCCCTCACCCTGACACAGAATCAGTGGGTTTAACAAACAGCAAACACTGTGAAAGAGCTGAATTTCAAATACATAAAATCATCATGGAATGGTTTGGGTTGGAAGGGACATTAAAGCTCATCCAGTTCCAATCCCCTGCCATGGGCAGGGACACCTTCCACCAGCTCAGGTTGCTCCAAGCCCCGTCCAACCTGGCCTGGGACACTTCCAGGGATCCAGGGGCAGCCACAGCTTCTCTGGGAATTCTATCCCAGCCCCTTCCCACCTTCACAGGGAAGAATTCCTTCCCAATATCCCATCTAACCCTACTGTCTGCTAGTTCAAAACCCTTCCCCCTTGTCCTGTCCCTCCATCCCTTGTCCCCAGTCCCTCTCCAGCTCTCCTGGAGCCCCTTTAGGCCCTGAAAAGCAGCTCTAAGTTCCTCCTGGAGCCTTCTCTTCTCTGGGCTGAGTTTTACATGAAGTTTTACAACTGTACAAAACTCTCCAGGTCGAATTTTACACCTTTTGCAAAAAACTTTCAAGCCTATAATTTGGCTTGAATGTTAACAAAACCCCCAAACAAACAAACCACATCAAGAAGGAACTTTACAGATCCTGGTGGATACTTAAGAAACTTAATTTGTATTTAACACTGGAGATACTATTTACTCAACAGTCAAAAACTTTGCACAGGGATTTTGTAACTGTTGCCCTTAAACCAAAGGCCTGTGAGATTTTTTTCCTTTTTTTTGTTCCCAGAGAATAGATTTCCATGTCTTCAAGGAGCTCTGGGCCATGACTCATTTGGCAATTCCTCACAAAAACAATGGCTCCTGGATCCTTAAAAAAGCAACTCCTAATCACACTTTGTTCTCTGCTGATAAGCAATTCATAAACCCACACATATTATTTATCTCCAGTGCCCTTCACTCCTGCTCCTGTGCACTTAATTCAGCTTTTTAATGAGGAAACTTCTGGCTGTGCAAGAAATGTACTGAGGGAGAGTTTGATTTATCAGTTCTGTGGTTTATTTTCTCTTTCTGTAGTGCAGAAATCACACATTCCAGCCACAAACTTGGCTGCAGAAAATCAAAATGCATTTTCAAACTTCAGAAATTCTTAGTACCAGAAGAAGCCAGTTGCATGAACACAAATCAGTAAGTAATTATTTCTTGACATTATTAATAAAAACAACTGATTACATTTTTCTATTAATGACACATCCTTGCTATTTTTATTTTCTGCTAATTAAATTTTCTTCTGACAGTAGGGAATGTCTTTACACAGCAGTGATTCTGTTCTGGTCTTATGAGTCTCCCCCAAAACTGGTCACCCTGTAGCCCTAAAACAACTCACTGTCCTTAAGAAACAGCCTCAAGAAGCAGCTCTGGACCTCACAAAGACCTGCTGTGCTCAGAAATAATAAGGCACCTACTCCCTCACCCCAGCTCCATGTCTCCTGTCTCAGGGGAGTGGGAAAAGGGCTGGCAATGACAAAATCAAGAGTAAAATCAGGTAAACAAGGTCAGGCACCTTCCCATTCCCACTTGGCTCAGCTCACCAGGGTCGGACAGTTTTGTCACTCACAAACTGCCCGTGAGGAGCGTCAGCATCTGAAGGCAAAAGGGCCAAATAAACGGGGGTCTCAGCCCCTTCCTCCGGGGATTTGGTGGCCTGGGGACCTGCCATGTCTGTCCTCACCCAGCCAGGGCAGCAGGCATTGAGGAGGATGTGCTCCCCTTTCCTTCTCTCGTTTAACAGCCGGGCTTGGATCCTGGACAGGACCGTGACCCCGATTTTGGACACCCCGTAGGCCGTGTTTGGCCACCCCTCTTTGTCGTGCACGCCCTTCCTGGTGTCCTCCACGAATTTGTTCATGAGCTGCACCAACTCCTCCTCAGTGATGGTGTCACTCCGGAATTTCTGCTGGAGTTCTTGGCTGCAGCGCCCCAGGGCTGAGCAGCTCACCGTGCTGGACACGTTCACCACCCGGCCTGCAAAAGGCAAGGAAAAACTGGTTATTTTTGACATTTCTTAAGCCCAGCACTGAGCTGGGGCTGCTCTGCAGCTCAAATATTTCATGTGGGCTATTCTGCAGAACTCTGGGGAGATCAGAGTTAACTCCACGTCACACGTTTCTAGAAAAATCCTGTTCCAGGGTGATTTAATTAAACCCTCAACAGCTGTTCCTGGATGTATCTCAGAACACTTTGCACTTTATACTTGTCCTTCCCAGACTTCTAGCTCCAAAACAGCCCTTGAGCAGATCAGCATCACAACACATGCATGTTGCCAGCAGGGAAAGATGCTTATTTAGTGAGTTTGGAATAAGGAAAGATAGCAAGCAGCATCTCCCTGGAGTGCTCTGTGGGTTTTGCAGAACTCTGGGAAGATCAGAGTTAACTCCACGTCACACATTTCTAGAAAAACCCCGTTCCAGAGGTAATTTCAGCTGTGCACCTGCAAAAGCTCTCTATCAAATGCCACATAAGCCTCCAGGAAACAACCTCTTACAATCTGTAGGTATTTTCACAGTGCTAAGAATACCTGAAGATTTCCTAATCCCAGCACAAAAACCTGCAGTGTTCATCTCCCAGCACTTCAGTACAGAGCAGTGAGTCAGGTAATCAGTAAATCATTCATTGTCTCCAAAATTATCTTGCAATGTTTCCCCTCTTTCTTGAGACTTTCCAGCCATTCAGGTGATGAACATGGGGATTTAACCTTATAAGGCACAGAAATTAATCCTTTCTGTTAATGATTTTATTCAGACACTCACCCTTCACCCTTAGTATAAGAGTATAAGTTGTAATTTTGGCACTGTTTATTCTTTCCCTAGCTGGCCCCCAAAAATTCATTTATTTCTGTCTTCTCCTTCTCCACCAGGAACTAAAAATTCCCAAATTCTCTTTCATCTGCTTGACTTCTCTTAAAAACCTGGATGTGTTTATATGTTAGTATAAACTGTAGTTCATTTATAGCAGCAAACACATCACAGCACCACGTCAAACTCAGCTGAAAGGCTGGGTTTGGGTACATCCCTATCCCAGTTCTGTCATCAAAATGTCCTTTCTGAAGCAAGAACAATTTATGGGGGCAGAGATCAGGGACAGAACATGAGGAAGTTCTCTATGGCTTCACTTCAATCCACAGCAAGAATGCAACCAGCTTGAAGGCAGATTTAAATATACACAGCAGAGACATTTTGGGGGTCAAGAAAGGCCCTTTTTGGGGTCAAAAAAGCCCATCTGTCCTTACCTACAGCACAGCCCCTCTTGCTATGGGGCAGTGTCTGACACTGGAGAGGATTTTCCCATTTAATGAGGGTCAAAATTCACACAAAACTATTTCTGTTATGTTTCACTTACCATAGGGCTTCATAAGAGGCAACAACTCTGTGCAAACATTCTTGGTTCCAAAAAAGTTTGTCTTCAGTGTGACCTCAGCTTGGACTGCAAATGGAGTCTTGTCCTGAACTTTTCATGGCAGGTGGGAAAGAGGAGGAAAAAAAACCCAACCAAAAATCAGAATTGTACTGGTTGAATAGAAGTTACCAAACCCCAAAAGTTTATCTCAGTTATTTTTTTAAACTACCAAACCTCAAGAGTGTAGCTTATTTTTTTCCCCCACTAATTAGAAAACGGGCATATGATCAATTAAAATCTATAAGAAAAGCAACATAATTGACATTAATGAGAAGACCTGGCTCTGCAATATTGTATTAATGAGTTAATCATGTTTTCACCTCTTCTTAGCTGAAGGTTTTGGCTTTACCCCAGGAGAGCCAGTTGTGTTCCCTCTGCAGGGTCATTTGCCACCCCCCAGGTTGTTTGGTCTTTCTGTCTTTTATATGGAAAAGCCATGGAAAAACTGCTCTCCTGGGATGTGCTGCCCAACCTGCCCAGTGATCTGCCAGGACCTACCCACACCCAGGTTCTCAGCTGGGGCTTGAAGTCACCAACACCATAAAAGCTTCTGTAGGATTTGGTGCAGCCTGGATAAAGAAACTGCCAAAAAAAACCCCCCAGCCACCCCCAAAACTGAGCAGTACTTGTGTCATAAATCACATTAATCACCCCCTGAAGTGACAGATCTGTGCTAACACATGGAAAAGAGTGGGAATTAGCAGGCAGGAAAAGGAGCTGCCTGACCTATGGCAAAGAGTTAGGGCAGTGGGAGAGCTAAAAACCTACACAGCTCCAAACTCCTGCTTCCATACCCTCCCCTCCTTGGAGAGAGGAACTTCCTCACACTCCCAAACCCACCTGGAGCCACTGTAACATCCTACCCTTCCTTGATTTAACAGAATTTATAACTGTTCTCAGAGAGGCTCATCCAGAGGACAACCCACAGTGCCATAAGCATTTCATCCAGGAACAGTTTTTGCTGGACAATCTGGGGTGCAGCACAAAACCAGAATGATAAGATTTAACAGCAAATCTAATCACTGACAGACTGCAACAGCACAAGAAAGAAGGGAAAGCATAAATCCTGGCATGGCAGCAGAAACTTGGCGAGGCAAGAAACAGGTCTGGGTAGAAACAATAACCTTGGGAGGAAGAATTAAAACAAAAATAAGCATCACAGCAAGTTCTTACAGAGATGTTACACCCTCTAGGCTCTGTGTTAGATACTTCACAGCAACAGCCACAAGAGGCTCCTTTATCACATTTCTGAATTGTGGGACATACTGCTGACTCAGAGTTGGGGTCAGCTTGAAGAAGGTCTGGGTTAAACACTTGGAAGTGATATTTTAACTGCTGCTGCAATGTTTTAACACCTCTCTATCCTGAGCACAGCCTGCAGCTCAGAATTGTATTAAGAGCAGCCTCCTATTAAAGTGATCAAACACAAGCAATTTTTCTATAAAGTAACGTGCAAAACATGCAGTGAGTGGGTTTTAGAAGACCATCACTGCACTCCCACTCCATCTTCAGGGGCAGGGGAGGTTTGATCCATAGTCCCTGACAGGCCTCCTTAAACCACCCTGTGAGCAGAGGAATCAGCACAAGGCTGGGCCTGAACAGCTCCCTGTCCTCACTGAGACAGGCAAAGAGACTAAAACCAACCGAAACCAACCAGAAAACAGGGTCACAGAACAGTGTTGGTTGGAAAAGACCTTAATCATCCAGTGCCACCCCCTGCCATGGGAAGGGACACCTTCCACTAGCCCAGGTTGCTCCAAGCCCCATCCAGCCTGGCCTTGGACACTTCCAGGGATCCAGGGGCAGCCACAGCTTCTCTGGGCAACCTGTGCCAGGGCCTCCCCACCCTCACAGGGAACAATTTCTTCCCAATATCCCATCTAACCCTATTGGATTTCGGTTTGAAGCCATTCCCCCTTGTCCTGTCCCTCCAGCCCTTGGAAATAGTCTCTCTCCATCCTTCCTGGAGCTCCTTCAGGCCCTGCAAGGCCACAATCAGTTCCCCCCAAAGCTTCTCTTCTCCAGGCTGAACAATCCCAGCTCTCCCAGCCTTTCCTCCCAGCAGAGCTGCTCCAGCCCTGGGATCCTCTTGGGGCCTGCTCTGGACTCTCTGCAGCAGCTCCATGTCCTTGCTGTGCTGTTCCCCAGGGCTGGAGCAGCTCTGTAGGTGGAGTCTCCCCTGAGGGAGCAGAGGGGCACAATCCTCTCCCTAGAACAAGTAGTCAGGCTTGTGATTTGCTTTATCTAACGTGATCTTGACTTGCTTTTATAAACACTTACAAGAAGAATGCACTTTTCCACCTTAAAACTGCTGTGGCTTCCTCACTTTCCCTGTGTTCCTGTCCACTGGGAGATGAAATGGTTACACTCTTGCTCAACACAGCAAGGTTTAGGTTAACTGGAGTACAGGTAACTGAATGGCCTGAGAAAGTTAGAGATAAGAGAAACCACCCAGGGCCAAAGTTTCTTTTTTTATCAGCTGGATGCCTTGAGGAGATAACACCCAGAACAAAGTACGAGGCTTGTGGAAGAGAGAAAATACATATCCCTATGGAACATGGCTGATGTTCACCCTCAGGACGGGCTCCCATGGCCCTGGTGAAACTCCTGGGCATTGAGGCAATTATCCCAACTCCACTCACAGGCACTGTGTGCCTCAAGGACTTCCATGCTCCCTGGGTGATGCAAACACAGCACTCCAGGGAAGCACGTTTACAGAATCACAGAATCGCTGAGGTTGGAAAAGACTTCCAAGATCATGGATCCCCCCTGTGCCTGATGTCCACCTTGTCCCCCAGCCCAGAGCACTGAGTGCCACAGCCAGGCCTTCCTTGGACACCTCCAGGGGACTCCAAACCTCCCTGGGCAGCCCCTGCCAGAGCCTGACCACCCTCTCCAGGAAGAAAGGCACAGGCACAGTCAGCCCAAGAGATCCCAGAAGACCCATTTCACATTGTCCTCAAAATAAGAAGCCTGCCCAGCCAAAAGTGCAGCATGCCACTGGCATACAAATGTCAGCTGCATCCACAATCCTCTCCACCCAGCTTGGCAGCACACAGGACTACCCCAGACAGAGCCCTTCCTACCTTTGAAGGCGATGCCTGCGTTGTTGACCAGCACGTTCAGCCCTCCGTATTTCTCCTTCAGGAAGTCCCGGAGGGCTCTGATGCTCTGCAGGTCATCGACGTCCAGCTGGTGGAAGAGGGCCCGGAGCCCTTCCTGCTGGAGCTTGGCCACTGCCTCCTGCCCCCGGCCGGGGTCCCGGGCTGTCAGGTACACGTCCCCCGGGAACTGCTTGCACAGGTCCCTCACGATGGCAAAGCCGATCCCTTTGTTGGACCCCGTCACCACAGCCACCGGCACGCTGGACATGGTCCTCCCCAAGTGAGTGCCCAAGTGACAGCAACTGCCAGTGAAGCCAGGTAAAACCTGGAAAGCGAATCTAGTAGAGCAACGTAAGGGTTAGAGAGAGTTAAACACAGAATACAGGCTTCTAGGCAAAGCGTGGAGAACTTAGCATTAGGAAATAGCAGAGGCAATAAATTCACTAGAATGCAGGGCGCTGTGACATGGGGAACATAGAGAATGAACAGAAAGAGCTGAAGATGCTAACACACACAAAAAAGGACATATGGAAGGGAAACAACAGGAGATAAGGAAAGGGACAAGCCAAGTGAGCAGGTACTCTTGCCAGATACTGAAAGTCCTTGCCAAATGCACAAGGAAACTACCCAAATTAGGGAAGGTTCAAGAGTTTATGAAGATGATGGTAAAAAGACAGTGAGTTCATGATGAAGAAAGACCGGATAGACCACCGAAGTTCTCCCCAAATTAGAGACCACGCCTCCAACTCCGCCTCGACTCCGCCTGTTATGAATATTAAAAGTAGATGTTGCAAGATAATGAATATTCATAATATGTGATGTAATTGCTTGGCAAAAAGTGTATAAAAAGCTTAATTGTAAGTTTCTCGAGCAGAGCAGTTTGTCCAGGGCGACCTGGCTGCTCCCCAGCCGCTCCCCGGCCGTAAATAAATACCTGCTGCTTATAGACTGAAAACTCTGTCTCTGAGCAGTTCTTCTGTGCCTTGTTTGGGGCATAAATTGGCATCACCAACAGCAAAGAAACCTTCACTCAGATGGACAAAGGCGGATAGTGAAAAGGAATTAAAGTCAGGGAATGGTTTAAGTAGGAAGGGACCTTAAACATCATCTAATCCAACCCCCCACCACGGGCAGGGACACCTTCCACTAGACCAGGTTGCTCCAAGCCCCGTCCAGTCTGGGCTTGAACAACACCAGGGGTGTGGAGTCCACAACTCTTCTGGCCAACTAGTGGTTTTTTTTTTTCTTTAAAATACTATTTCAAATTCCAGCTTGAATTATGTGAAGCTACATTACTGACTGTAACTTCCTAAAGTAGCCTGAGGTGCCCAGAGAAATACACACCCGGTGCCAAATGTTTCAAAGAAAACCCAAGCAGTGACTGGGCAAAAAGAAGAAAGAAAGGTCTTTACCAAAGAAAGTCAACGAATAATTTTTAGTACTGAATTACCTTTTGGTGGGAGTAAACTCTTCCGCACTTACACCTCACAGAAAACCCATTTCCTTCTTTTGGGAATATTTCAACTGGTTCAGCTGAAAAACTCAGGCTCCAAACCTGAGCAACCTGCTCTAGTGGAAGGTGTCCCTGCCCATAGCAGGAACTGGATGAGCTTTAAGGTCCATTCCAACCCAAACCATGGGAAAAAAAAAACATAAGGAATGAGCAGCTCCATCTCCAAGTGCCAGGTGGGAGAAGCAATTACAGGATTTTCAGAGGGAAAGAGCAGAGCACAGGTTGACACCGTTTATACTGTCGAACACACCATCACCTCTAGACAGAAAGCCTGCTTGCTGTTTTTCAAACAGATAACAGTGCATTTAAAGAAGATGCATTTCCCGCATGAAAGCAAGTTTAAAACGCTGTTTTTACATAATTCCCACCTCTCTTCCCATCTCGCCTGTAACTAACCCCGCTCGAGGATGACACCCCAACCAGCTCCTGCCTTCCCAGAGCCAGGAGCCCCCGTTCCCACCTCACTCCCACCGCCTCAGGAGCGGGTCCCTAACGGGGAGGGCACGCCCGGGCCGCCATGAGCCCCGACCCCCTCAGGGCACCGCGGTCTGAGGGACCCGGGGAGGGGCTCCCAGCACCTCCTCACCCACCTCCAGCACCGCGGGTGCCTTCTCCCTCGTCCCTCAGCTCCGCGCAGCGAGGAAAGCACACGCTGTTCCCCCAAAAAAACCTCAGATGATCGCACTACCGGGGAAGGGAGATACAGACGCCCCTAAAATGGCGGAGCAGCCCCGCCTCCGGGGTGGGAATGAACCCGCCGTGAGGGGAAAGCAAGCGATGGCGGTACCTGTGTCCTGCCCAGCAGGTGGGTTTGGAGCAACGGGAAGCTATTCCAGGCCGGGAGGGACTCGGGAGCGGCAATTTAGGTTGCCAGGGGAGGGTGCTGTTGGGTCTGTCATGGAGGGTGCGCGGAGCACGGGGCGGTTCCGGAGCGGTCGCTTCCCTTGGGAAGTTCCCTGACAGCGCCGCCTTGGAGTTTTCCTTCTCTCCCGTCCCTCATGTCCTGGGGGGTCGTGCCGAGCCGGGAATGGAGGTGGTGTTAGCACAGGCTTCCCAGTTCGAGGGGTAGGATGGGATGGGGTGGTGTTGTCCAGGAGCCCGACCGCCTGTGGGTGCTCCCGGTTCCCCGCCCGGCCTCCCTCCTTGCAGGGAAAACCTGCGCTCCTGAGGGTCAGTTCAGGGCTCTTTTGGCAAAGCGAAGGATATTAGGAAAAGGTTCTTCCCCCAGAGGGTGCTGGGCACTGACCAGGCTCCCCAGGGCAGTGCGCACGGCCCCAAGGCTGCCAGAGCTCCAGGAGGGTTTGGACAATGCTCTGAGGGACAGGGGGGAGTGTTGGGGTGTCCTGGGCAGGGCCAGGGCTTGGACTGGATGATCTTTGAGGGTCCTTCCCAACTCAGGATATTCCATGATTCTGGGAAAGATGATCCAGTGCCACCCCCTGCCATGGGTAGAGACACCTTCCACCAGCCCAGGTTGCTCCAAGTTTATCCAGCCTGGCCTTGGACACTTCCAGGGATCCAGGGGCAGCCACAGCTTCTCTGGGAATTCTATCCCAGCCCCTCCCCACCCTCACAGGGAATGAAAAGTACTTTAAATATTTGTAAGTAACTTTTTTTTTTTTAGATTCAGGTTGTCTAAATAAAGCAAAATCTGTTGCTTAATATGAAGAAAAACAGAGGTCGGACAGGCCGGAAGAGAAGAAGAAAACACTCGCAGAGTTTTGTGGATGGAGGTACTATCCCTGAAAGTTAAATAATAAAATAACCAGTTGCTTTTCAAGGTGTCATTCTGTGGTTTATGTTTGCAAACACTTTTGTGTTTTTTTGCTCTCAGGCACGTGGTAGGATTGTTGGGATTGTCCTGGGCAGGGCCAGGAGTTGAACTCAATGGTCCCGATGTGTCCCCTCCACCTCAGGATGTTCTGTGATTTGCAAAAACCTTTGTGTTTTGAAAATGATAATAATAAATGTTACATTTTTTTAATATGCAAATATTGTAACATTGGTTTACAGTCACCAGCACGGCATGGTGAATATTGTGAGCTCTCTTTTCTGGCTCATGACAAGTACTACATTATTCTTAAATTCCTTGAATATACTGAATAACTCACACGACTCTGAGACCTCCCAGTGCCCAGAGGCCCAGAATTTAACAAGTTAGTTCTAGGGGAGCCTTTCTTGCTAATTTTTTATGCTTTAAAATGTCTTAATATTTGTTTGTCTGACTATACAGTGAAATTTTTAAATTTCCTTTATTTTCCAACAGGAAATTATAGCCTTTTATAGAATTAATTTTTTTTTTTAATTTGTTTTTAGTCAACTGCAGTCACAAGCTGGAGTACATTAAACTTAAGAAGTGGCTAAAAGACAGAGGATTTGAAGACAGTATTTTAAGGCCAGCAGAGTTCAGGGGTAATGTTTTAATTTTTTTTATTGATGGTACAAATTTCTGATTCCTCTAAGAACGATAGATTCCTGATGTAAGTCTTTTACACCTGGCTGGCATCAGGAAAAAAGCCAGTTACTGTTAGTCTTCTAAGGATTTTTGGCAAATGCACACGAATATCAATTTAACAGAAACAAAACTTGCAGACTTATGCTGAATTCCTGGTAAAAGCTGAAATTTTTAGTGTTAGTAGCACAATTTTGAAGAAGTGTTTCTGTGTTTCCAGCATTGGAACCTAACCTTGCTATCATTTGTTCATCTTTTTTTTTCCTCAAGCAAGTTCAGCAGATCTAGTGATACACATAAATAAATTCTTTTAGAGCTGGGATTCACTTAGTAATGTTTGCAGTAAAGGTTTATACTTGTATTTTTTTTCTCTTTAAGTAGGTTATGTTTCCAAATTTTTTGCAATATTAATAGAGAGTAAGAATAGAATGAATCAGAGAAAAATACTGTGACTGGAAATTAAAAAGTTTAGTTGAAACTCTGAAACCAAGAACTGCAGCTGGTGATGATAGATATGTTTGAAGAAAAAATTGAGAAAAACAAGTGGAATAATTGCTAGAACTGGGAGAAAAAGGAGTTGAATAATGGCTAGAACTGAACAGCAAGTGCTGCAGGGGGTGCAGGGAAAGGGTCCTGAGAAATAAAGAGAGTTGGAGAACAAAGAAATTAAATATATGTATGGAACAACCCATTTATGATTTGGAAGAGGTAATGTCTATTCTTTTAGAGCTTTTCCTTGCTGACCTGATCATAGATTCCTGATTTCACATATAGACATGTATTTACTTGTGCTCTTTGTTCCTGCCTCAGAGACAGGAAGAGGACTGATGGCAACAAAAGCTCTTCAGGTCAGTGATGTTGGTTCTGCTGCAGGAGCTCCTCAGGTTCTTTTGAGGTGGAATGAGTTTTTGCAAGAAGCAAAACTTAGAATTCCAGACAAGGTCTTCATAACCCCTGTTGTGGATGTAATTTCTGGCCTCTGACCTTCACTTTGAAGCTTCTGTGTTGGTAGATTAATTAATAGGAACATCATTTCTCAGGCATTTCCAGCAGGAAAGGGGAATAATAGAAAAAAAAAATCCTTGCCCTGTGGATATTGGAACTCTGACTGAAAAAACTTCTTTGTTGGAGAAGTTTCCTACGTAGTGTGAGGATAGTAAATGAAATAATGGTGAATCAGAGCCAGGATCTTTGGCAGAACAGGGAGTAAAGCAAGAGGTGGGAAGGAGATGCAGTGGAAAAGCCACGTGCAGAGGACAGTGTGTGTTCTCATCCTGGCTCAGGTTGAGACCTCAGAAGCCAGAGGTTTTCCCCAGTGCTGGGAGCCTGCAGTGGGTGCAGAGAACAGAACCCAACTGGGCTGGAACGAGACAGGGAGAAATCAGGAGAGGAATGGGAAGAGAGCATTGACTGGATCCATGTCCTCTCCCTGCAGCAATGGGCACACGTGGCTCCAGCCAGGCATGAAAGCTGATTTACACCCAGCAGCCTGGCAAGCAAGGTCAGGGTAGACATGACCTAAAATATCCCTGCCACGTGCTGCTGTGTTGATGGAAATTCAGCTCTTTGTGAGACCTGATCTAGAATATATCTCAGTGCAAAGAAAGGGAGGAGCCAGGCACAGGCTTTCTGTGAACAGTGATGGTTTGTACTGCCTGCAGTTGTCCTCCTTCCCTGGGTAGGGACTCTTCAAACCCTCCCAGTTCCCATGGGAGGATGAAATGAGTCACTTACACTTGACTTTTACTGTTCTTTGTGTGTGATTATTGTTTTTTCTCTTCCCTCAAAGGCAGGGGATCTCATTATTTCTTTGCCTGAGAAGTGTTTACTCACCACAAGCACTGTCCTTAGGAGCTACCTGGGAGGATACATTAAGAAGTAAGTGAAAAGTGAGACTTGATGGACAAGTTGACCTGGAGTGTGGGTTGTTCATTAATAGATGAATCATCTGAAGTGGTGGGAGAGCTTTAAACTGCATTCCCTGAGTGGTAACCATTTCTTGTGGCCTTTCATGGGTGTGGAATGCTCAGATAGGAGAGATTTGGGCTCAAAACATCCCCTTTTAGCTCAGCAGACTAAAGCACAGACTGGAACTCTACCTGCCTCAGAGCCAGCTTGGACCTAAATGTCACTTAGGAATGATTTCTTGGGAATTTGTGAATAAGCTTCAATAGGAGAAGGAAGATAAAAAGGGGTTGCAGAGCAGTCACATGAACATGGCCTTTTAGAAAATTCAGAACAAAGTCCTGTCCTGGACATTGAGTCCTTGTATATCCTAAAAAACCCAACCCCACCCCCAAAAAAAAAAACCAACCCAAGGGGTGAACCTGAAGTTGTTATTCCAAACCAGCTTTTATTGCCCCCTTTGAAACCATCCAAAGGGCTTGGAGGTGAACTACAAAGCAGTTTAAAATAGAAGCTTTTTATGACATCTCAAAGAAACCTTGGAGAGATAAAACACCCAATTCCCATCTCACCTCTGAATATCTGCTGGGTTGGTATTTTTATTTTTCCTTTCTTTTCTAATAGCTGGAAGCCTCCTGTATCCCCTTTGATGGCACTGTGCACGTTTTTAATAGCAGAGAAACATGCTGGGGAGGAATCCCCCTGGAAGCCATACCTGGATGTTCTACCCAAGACTTACACTTGCCCTGGTTGTTGGGAACATGATGTAGTGACCCTTCTTCCAGAACCTTTAAGAAAGAAGGCTCAGGAGCAGAGAACAACCATCCACGAGCTCTATTTGTCTTCCAAGGCTTTTTTCTCTTCCCTGCAGCCTTTGTTTGCTGAGGACACAGGAACTATTTTTACCTACAGTGCTTTGGAGTGGGCTTGGTGCACTATTAATACCAGGACAATATACATGAAACATCCACAGAGGGAATGTTTTTCCCTGGAGCCAGATGTTTATGCACTGGCACCGTATTTAGATCTGCTAAACCACAGTCCAAATGTTCAGGTGAGAAACTAAAAATAGATCACTTGGTTTCCTTATTTGTAAATGCACTGTCTCAATACAACAGGCATTTATGGGATGGGTTAAGAGGGTGTGGAGGTCAGGGAAGGATCTCCCAGTGGGGAAAATGTCAGTTTGGGAGCATGTAAAGGGTGAGGACTCACGGGTCATAAATACACTGGAGTTTGTTCTTCAGCCCAAGGCAGTTGAATAAAGGTAATTTTGGTAAAGATCACCAGGAACTGGAGTGACAGGACAAGGGGCAAAGGCTTCAAACTGCCAGAGGGC